TTTGTCTCGTATATCCTGTTTCTTTTGTTATGCAGCACTGATTACCGTAACAACACAATAGTGTACTGATGCCCCATATGACAGCAGACAATGTAACAAAATAACCCCCCTTAATGAGGAATCTTACCTAGTTTCACTTTTGCCTTTCTGCCTCTGTGTTCATCTTGTTTTGTTTTTCACAGCACTCTTTTTCTTATGGGACCAATGAAACAATTGAAAAGGATGTTTGAGCCTACACGTTTGATTGCTACTATTGTTATGCTAGTAAGTATCAAAGGAATCAGTTTTAACTCATGCTAACCTGTAAACAATTTCCATTGTGAAGTCCTTTCATATACATTGACCTAACTATGTCTCAAGATGTGGTGTTTGTGGGTCTGGGGTTTTTTTTGGTTTGTTTTTTTTCTTTCTTAAAACATCAAACATCCTGCAGATCTGCTATAGTGGAAAGGTATGTGTAGCACCAGAAAACCACCTTCCTATTGGGAAAGACTGAGCTGAAGCCAGGTTGTTATGCTAAATGAGCATGAAGGGTCTGTGGCTGGTGCGTGTGAACCATGCACATACTTTTTTAGGGTGCTTGAGGTCACAATATCATATTTTCATCTTGTTTAAAAGATGAAAGATGGGAAACGAGTTTTTAAAAAGTTGTACTAGGGAAGTTGTTAGACAAAATTATTTTGCATAATTTTGTCTTTTTATATCCTATCTGATTTGCTTTAAAGAGCTGTGTAGGTATTTCCACATTGTTAAAATCGTCATTTCCTGACAAAGCAACTAGGGAATCTCTATGCCTTGGTCATCTTGCATTAAAAATACAGAAATCATCCCAGTTGACTGATAGCTTCAGGTTTTGAAACTCGTATGACACCATGAAATTGCAAATTCAACATTCAGCTGAAGTCAGCCCTTGGAATTATTTTTACCTTCAGAGGAATGGGAATTGTGGCCAACCTTCTACTCTGTGTGCATGAAAATTGCTGCTAAGTTTCAGACTCTTTCTTGTTTAAAGTGCATATGCTTTTTTTGTCTCTTCGACTTTCCCATCTTCTCTTGGAGAGTCTAAAATCTGGAAGGTGGTTTAACTTGCATGAAACTGTCCTCCCATTTTCAGTGTGAGTGTCTTCAGAGCGTTCGCTTGGCACCAGTGCTTCCTATTTTCTCTTTAAACATCCAGAGAGGCTGCAGGCAACTGATAGAGCTTGAGAAATTGACTGTGTATGCTTGCAGATCAGCAGCAGGCAAGAAGCCTACTGTGTGGTGTGTTTGTTTTGTATGCATTTATGATGCCTGGAGTCAGGAGAATGCCTGGAATGTTGTTCACTGGAATAAAGCCAGTTGTTAGATGTATGATGTAGTATTTAGACCAATATACAAATCACCACCTTAAAACTAATGGAAAAACTACATTTAATGTCAATAATTATGGCTGAGGTGAAGTGTATGATTTCTTTGGCAATGCATGTGTTACTGTCTTGAATATGCGGTATTGAATCTTTTGAATCTTTTTTTTTTTTTACTCAAGCAGAAAAGTGCACATGATAATCACTAGTAGCACAATGGTACATGTATATCAAAAGTCTGTTAGATGTTGATGAAGGAAGATCAAATATCAGCACCTACCATAGCTAAATGAGCTGTCTTGTCTTAAATTGAAAATGAAAAGTTGAACTAAAAGGAAGCTACTGTTAAAACAGAAAATAATCCAAAATGGCCTACTACCCCCCAAGATTTTAACTGTAGTAAAGACACAGCACAAGTCTGAAAAAAGAAAAAGTGCTGGTTTGAATACTTGTGCTGGACTTTATATTAAACACGAGACCTACTAAGCAGTAGCTGAAAGTTCTTGAAAGTGTATTGTAGTTTTAATTGGTAAGAATTAAGTAATGACATGGCTTCAACCCCACAGTAACCTTGAGAATCAACAGGAAATGTGGCATGGACAGAAGAAAGACTAGAGTTGTAACTGAAAAGTCTTACTTATGCAAAACGATGAAGTGTGGTCTATACCTGTGACACCAAGAAGTGTGTGGTGTGACGTAGGAAGCTGCTGACTTTGCAGAAGAGCTGTAGGAACCTCTTCCTCTTGTTCCTTTGCAGCCATAAAATTATTTTTCTGGAGATATCAGGCTGATATTTCCTCATTGCTTTAATTCACTTCAAAAATGTAATAGTGAGGGCATTTTAAATAAGGGGAACTGTTATGCAGGGTTGGATAAAACTATGAAATGATGTAATCTGTCTCTGTGAAGGAACCCATTACGGTGTCACAATATTTATAAAAACTGAAGTTGTTTCTATGTTTAATAGAAATTGTTTGTTTTCTTCTAGTTGTGTCTCATACTAACATTGTGTTCTGCTTTCTGGGTGAGTACTCAAGTCCTGGAGTATACTGGAGTATATTTCAAAAATAAGATGCTTACATTGTTGTCTCATTGTGCGCTATGTTCCCCCCCGGCCCCTTCTCTCTTCCTCCAGTGGCGTAAGGAAGGACTCGCGCTCCTTTTCTGCATATTACAGTTTTTTGCCTTGGCATGGTAAGTGATTTCCTCCCCACACGCTCCATTTTCTATTGCACCTAACATCAGTAGCTGAATTGTGAGTGGATTTTGACCTTGCATGAGTTAGAGGGAGGGAGAATTTTTACCTCACCGTTCCCTTAGATGCAAGACAAAGCATCAATGAGGTGCTGACTTGTTCCCACTTCTTGGTCTCTCTCACCACTAGAGAGGCTTTGGAGATGGAGCTCGGGGCTCCATTTCTGGGGGAAGTTCCTTTCAATGTGTTTAATTTATGTGAGCTTGAAGTGAAACTGCTTTTTTTTCTTTCCCTTTTAAATAATTTTTTTTTGCTTACTCTCTGGTATTCCTCTTTTACAATCTCCTGAATTTTTCTTGTTAAAAGACCTAGATATGCCAATCAAATTAAGTGTCAATGTTCTTTAAGTTAACATATGCTCTACGTAATGTCACAGAAGTAGTACAGAAACTGATAGGAACATCTAGCCAGCCCTCAAGACTAATCTTACCTGCCTGTAGGCGTTGGAGCTTGAAGAATATTGGGTGCAGGGGAACTGTGTTTAAAATGCTTCTACAATGTGCCCCCTGATTTTGCCATAGTGTTTCACAACCTGGCTGGGCTAAGGTGACTTGCAA